CTTAGAAAACAATACAGGAAGGAATTATTGGACCTTTTGGACCAATGGTATCCTTGTTTTGCAGGTGTGTATTACCACTGGGTTTCAAGGGGTTCTGTAAATGAAGTGATCTGAGGTTCCCTTCTATTGGGCATTTTTCTATTGTGAAAGCATTTGGTACAGAGATGCTTGAGTTTCTAATGCACTGTCATCAGTTTTATTGGAGTTGATTTTGTACTATGGCCATGACCCATTTAACTTCCTCCATGGTTGGTTGATTCTCTGAAGGCCAGATGACTCTGCCTTGGACTCTCAGTGGAAGAACACCAGATGTCTCCAGATGTCTCGCATTGCAGCTCCCCTGTAGGAGAGAGGTGGAGAGGAGAGAAGCCAGGGCTGAGGCCATTCCAGTAATAAGATCACTTTCTTAGGCTGCTGCCCCTGACCTCTCACCAATGGGATCTGCCTCTGGGCCCAGTGATTGGACAGGAACCTGCCTTCAGTTGGCAGGTCAGAAACATGCCATCCATACAGAGAGGTGTACCACCATTTAGTTGAAGGGATGGTTAGAGAAAGGGGAAACTGTGGACTTGTCCTTTTTTTTTTTTCCTTCTTTCGCCCATGGTGTATGAGTAGATATTTTGGGATATGATTCTTTTTTTTTTTTTTTCCTTTTTGTCTTTTTTACTGACCGGTAATGGGATCGCAGCCCTCGGTGTTGCGCCCGCCGGTAACGGGATCGCAACCCTCAGTGTTGCGCCTGTACCGGGGACCGGCAACGGGATCGCAGCCCTCGGTGTTGCGCCCGCACTGCACTCAGCCAGTGAGCGGGAACCGGTCTCCACGTGGAACCCTCGGCGGGAGCGCTGCCGCGCTCCCAAGCAGCGCACTCTCCAGTGCGCCACCAGGCCGGCCCAGGGATATGATTCTTTGTTATCTCTGGATAACAAAACAATGAATAGGGTTTCACAAATCTAAAAATGGCTTTTGTGATCTGTGAAAGCTGTTGTTGCTTGAATGATGAAAAAATATTTCAGGAGCAGGCAGTGTTCAAGATATCACTCAGCAAGGTTTTATTAATCCCTTCGAGGTATGCAGCCCTGGATTAAATAAATGTTTGAGAACATAAATACTAATTCCTGCCCTAAAGAACTTACATATTCAGATAAAGTCTAACTTTATCTTTAAAGTTAACTTTAAACAACTGCCTACAAAAAAATATTATCCCCTGCAGAGAACAGTGGCCTCTAGTATAAGCTATGTATTAACTTAAAAAATAAGTTAGGTTAAATATGAAAACATTTGTTCAATGTTTTCATCTTTCTACCCATGCAACTCTTTATTAGAAATATCAATTTTTCCCAATATTCACACTTTCTGCTAAACTAAAGTGCATACCAGTCTCCAGAGGATGAGAGATAGGCAGAAATTCATAAAACAGTCAGCAGCAGTTATGGGAGGCACAGGCTGCAGACAGAACACACCAGACCTCTCGGGTACTGCCGCCTCAATGAGGAAGGATCTCTAGGACCCAGAGATCCAGCATCCCCAGATTCTGCTCCCCTATCTGCCAGATTCCCTCACTGACCAAAGAAACTTTTCTAGTTTTCAGGTTTTGGTGAAGTGGTGTGGAGGGGGTATTAGAATCTGACAACAACAATAACAAAATTCGGTGAAATAATGCCACTAGAGGTGAAGAACTAAGTTACTACTTAAGCATAATTTGAATTTACCCAATTTATCCTCTTTCAAAAGATCCCAAACATTTCACCTTATTATTCCTTTTAAGGATTACAAAGTTGAGCAGGATGCAAAAATAAATCACTAATAAAGAATAATAGCAATTTGGGCCGAGCCCGTGGCGCACTAGGGAGAGTGTGGTGCTGGGAGCGCAATAGCGCTCCCGCCACGAGTTCGGATCCTATATAGGGATGACCGGCACGCTCCCAGGGCTCCCCGGCTGAGCGCGGGGCGGCCGGGCCCCAAAAGGAAAAAAAAAAAAAAAAAAAAAAAAAAAAAAAGAATAATAGCAATTTGGCAGACAGGAGTTCTTAGTTTCATAAAAAGAATGACTTGTAAATTCAATCTTTTATGAATACTAAAGAATGTCTCTTTAGAAGTCAGAATAGATCCTTTTGGTGATTCCTGAAGTGGATTAATACATTAGAGTCTGGATTAAAATTCCACATAAAGCCAATGAGTACACATAATTACATCCCACCTGCCTTAGATCAAGTCATTCATTTTCCTCCAGAATTGGGCTGAATCCATCTCATTCAACACTGTCTAATCTCACTTGATGGAGAGTGGTAAGTGCCTGGTGGAATAAGCTACTTTGAAGTCATCTTCATCAACAGCTGTCTTAGATCTTTGCAACCACAAGTTGATTTCTTAAAGAAACATAATGTAAGCCAAATATGTAATTTTAAATTTTCTAGTAGCCACATTTAAAAAAAAAAGGAAACTAATAAAATTAGTTTTGTAATACACTTTATTTAACCAATATAGCCAAAATATTATTTCAACATGGAATCAATATTTAAAAATTACTAATGAGATATTATGCATGCCTTTCCTTTTTTTTATTAGGACTTCTAAATCCTGTTTTTTTACACTTAACAGTAGATCTCAATTTGAACTAGCCATATTTCTGTGCTCAACTGCCCATGCAGTGTTAGCCTGGTGTGCTTAAGGAGGCAGCTGGATGTGAGGCTGTGGGAGCAAAGCAGAAGTCTTTGTCAAACCAGGAGTTTGAGCTTTGCCCTAAAGGCTGTGGGAGCCATAGAAGGATCTTAAACAGAGAGGTGACATTTTTTATTTTGAACTTAATTGGGTGGCCTCAGGAAATACAGGTTAGAGGTGAGAGATAGATGTAGGAATAGGGGCTAAAGCAAGAAGCATGTTAGAAGGATGATGTAGTGGTCCAGGTGAGTGGTCCTTTAATTGGTAAAGACTCGAATTAAAATATGGGGAACATGGACCAAAGGAAGCATTTCTGAGATATTTAGGAGGTAAAATCATCAGGATTTGGTAGTGACTACTGGATTTGGAGACAGAGATGGGGGTAATCTCGGATGGTCATCAGGTTTCTACCATAGGTAGTTGGGCCAATAGCAGTAGTGTTAACTGAAATGGGGGGAGGGCAAGTTGAGAGAGGGACATGAGTTTAGCTGGGCCATGTTGACTCTGACGTGCCTTTGGAACAGGCAGATGGATATGTCTAGTCTGACCTGGAAGAGTTTACTTGAGAGAATATATATAGAGAGAAGCTAACAAGGCCAAGTAGGGATACTCAGTAATTAAGGTGCCAAATGAAAAGTTTAGGCAATAAGGGTAAGTTAGAAAGTCAAAGAGGGTAGAAGAGGGCGCAAAATTGTTGTTCAGTAAGAAAGTTATCAGCAAGTTTAAGTGACATTGTGAATAAATCTGACCTACTGGGCCAGATGGAATTAGGGCCGAGACCAGAGCTGGCCTAATGTATTTTACAGACATATTTTGTTTGGCTTTTGTAGCATTGGACACACAGTATACTAAATTTAAGTTGGGGGCCAATATTTTCACACAAAATCCAGATTTATTACTTTTCTTTAAAAGAAAAGGGAGCCAAGAGGTAGTTGTGGCAACATTGGTAGTATCATATGGTGATAATCAACTTAATTGTATGCCCTTTCTCTCCAACGAATGTTTTACTCCTTTATGTTATTTGCCTTGGCCCGGTAGACATTTGATTTTTCTGCTTTGGAGCCAAGGATCAGTAGGTAATAAAGGTACAAAGATAGATTAGTGACAGATTATAGAGGGCTTTGAATACCAAACTAAGGAGTATAAAATGTAGGCAGTGGGCAACCTTTGAATAAGTCATTGATGAGATTAAAGCCATATTTAGGAGGATTATTCTGAACCAGTATGAAAATATAGAAGTTAGGGAGAACAGTGACCAGTTTTGAAAGTGAAGAGAGGAATGAAATGGTGTTGGGATATACAAATGGGCTTTCAAAATGGAAATGGAAGTGTCTTAAGGAGATGTCATCCAGAAAGGCTACTAACTGCCCATGAGAACCATATGGGCCATTGAACTTGGTAGGAAATTTGCTTGCAGACTTCCAGAACTCAGGCCATTGTTGGGTGTAGAGGACAGTGCTTGTCAGGGGTGTTATGGAAAAGAAAGGTCAAACAAAATATGCTTACTGGCTATCTATGGCCTGCAGGTCACTGTAGTCACTGTTCTTAGTAGACTATAAATGGAGGGGAAAGATCCTTTAAAAAAAAAAGGGCTAAAATGAGTATCTGATCATTATGTACTGTGTGCCAAGCACTATTCTAAGCTGTTTACCACAGGTATTTTACTTAATCCTCACAACCACCCTCTGGAGAAGGTACTACTGCAATTTCCATTTTATAGACAAGAAAACTGAGACCCCAGAGGTTAAGAACTTACCCAAAGTCTTATGGCTGATAAGGGATGCAACCATGACTTGAACCCAAGCAGTCTAACTCTTCGGAGGCTTATCTTTTAACCACTGTGTCAAACTGCCTCTGCACTTTTATTTGTTCTAATGCTACACAAATGGGTAACTTCACAGGTAGAGAACTTCATGCTTTCACCCTGGAAGCTCTGGTATAACTTATTTCAGGGGTATCAGTTGGTTCAGGTCCTAGTAGAAGAAATGAAACTCCAGAATTGACTCTTTACTTGTCTTTCAGGGAACAGATAATGTGCTGGGTCCTTGGGTGATCTTGAGAGAACAAGATTATGTGGTGTGTTCAAAAGTGTTCTCTTCCTTTAGCTAATGGCTCCATGTTAGCATGTAAAGTGTGTGCTGGTAACTCTTTATTGAAAAAAAAAACACTTATAAGAACTCATTTCTTTTATGCAAGCTAAATTAAATTTTATAAATACTTGAATTTGGAAGGGGATGAGAATCCATAACATTGTAGAGAAATGCATTTGATGTAAAGCCTCAAACTTTGTCAAGTTTTCCTACCATATTTAGTGTGGTTTCTTTCTCTTTGGTCTACAGATGAAACATGTGAATGAAAGATTTCAAGATGAAAAAAATAAAGAGGTGGTTCTCATGTGCATTGGCATCACTTCAGGAGTTGGACGATTGCTCTTTGGCCGGATTGCAGATTATGTGCCTGGTGCGAAGAAGGTTTATCTACAGGTACTTTCTTACACCTTTTTTCCCAGCAAAATTATCCTTTTCACCTGGTGGCTCATTACATTTACTTACATGCTTAAATGCTTCTATAAAAATGAGAAATATTTTCTAGAACGTGACTTCCTCAGGCAGTTTTTCAAGGACAAAATCTGTTATGAGTTTAGGTTTTAAACATGAGAAATTGGTTGTCAAACAACAATCTTCTTTATTTTGTCATGGAATTCCACCAAACCAAACTGTTTTTTGCCCATTGCTTTTTCTAAGAAGAATGTTTTATTTTTGGCATAGGTCTCAAAGTCGTGCAGATCCTATGCCTTTTGCAATATCTTGTGAAATTTGGGTGTGTGTATGACTGAGCTTCTTTAATGAAAACTGCCTCCTAGGTGCTGTGGGGTGTACATAAACAAATGCTAACTCCAAGATCATTATTGACACTCAGTCAATAGAGATTTAAGTGACTCTCTCATGCCAGACACTGTGCTAAACGCTGCAGAGTTAAATGAAATATGGTCTGTGCCCTCAGTTAGTAGCTAATGGTCTCATGGGGAGACAGATAAAACAGCACAGTGGAGTAATGGGTATGCTAGGTGGGTGCCGTGGGAACATAGGCACTGAGCATCGGAGTGACTAGTGAGGTTCTGAGCAGTGTTGGAGGTGAGGTCTAGTTATGTAGATGAGGAAGACAGGGAAGAGTGTTCAAGCAAAGGAAAACCACATGGGCAAAGATGCAGTGGTGTGACATGGTATGTTACGTCTGGGAAACCGAATGTTTGAATGAGATAAGGGGAGAACAGTAGGTGGATTCCCTGGGGGGATAGGAAGGAGACAGGTTGGGAAGGGCCTTTATGTGCATAAAAGATGATGAAATTTATCCTGAAATTTACTAGGAGCCATTAAAGGATTTTAAGCAAGGGAGTGACATGAATTGTGTTTTATAAAGATCAATCTGGTAACTGTGAAGGGTGGAAGGGAGTGGAGGGGTCAAGAGTTCACATAGTCACAAAAGGCCACATGAATTATTCCATTTATGTGAAATGTCTGGAATAGGTAGATCCATAGAGACAGAATATAGATTAGTGGTTGTCAGAGGTTAGGGGAAGGAGGGAATGGAGAGGGAATGGGTACAGGGTTTCTTTTTGGGATGATGAAAATATTCTTTTTTTGGCAGTTGACCTATATGGGGATCTGAACCCTTGACCTTGGAGTTACAAGGCTGTGCGCTAAGAAAATGTTCTAAAATTAGATAGTAATGATGATTGTACAATGTTGTGAATATACTAAAAACCACTGAATTGTACTGTTTAAATGGGTGAACTTTATGGTATATGAATTATATCTCAATAAAGTTATTACTTAAAAAAAAGAATGGAGGCACAGGGACTAGTTGGAGACTATTGAAGTAATCTAGGCAGGAAGAACCAGGATACTGGGTAAACAGAGTAACCTAGGGATACAGAGAAGGAGAATTCAATGGAGCCACTTAAGCTGGGTCTGAGATCTGTGGCTTGAGTAACAGAGTAGATGGTTTTACTATTTTATCAAGATCAATAATTCAGTAAATTCTAGTAGGATAATGAGTTCATTTTTGCCATGTTAAGGTTTTGGTGCTTATGGGAAAGCCACACTGAATTTGGAGCTCATGGGAGAGTCTGGATAAGAGACCCGTGAAACTTTAGCACTCATGGACTGTCTGGGATGAGTGGAGGATTAGGGCCCTGCAAGGGAGACTGAAAGGTATGGCCAGATTGGTAGCAGAAAAGCAGGGAATAGAGTGTTTCTAGGGGCAGGAGTGGTCACCAGTGTCAGTAGCTAGTTAGAGGGAGACTAAAAGGTTTTCACTGGATTTAGCACCAGAGAGGACATTAGTGACCTTAGAGTAGTTTCAGTGGAGTGCAGGTGCAGAAGACTGATCATGATCAGTTGAATAAATGGAAATATAGACAACTTTGTCCAAAAGCTTGGCCGTGGAAAGAAGGTAAAGGAGAGACAAAAGGGGGACTTAGAATTTGGAGATTAAACCTGTCTATTTATAGATGAGAGGCAGAATTTGAGCAGGGCCTTTAAGAAGAGGTGAAATTTGGGCACAGGAAAATGATTGGAAAGGCATTTATTTCAGACAAAGTAACTTCCATTTATTTACTAGAAGTAGTAACAGGGCTGGCCAGTTAGCTCAGTTGGTTAGAATGTGGTGCTGTAACACCAAGGTCTAGGATTCAATCCCTGTACCAGCCAGCTGCCAAAAATAAATAAATAAATAAATACAAAATAAAATGGGTAGTAGCCACAAAAAAAAAAAAAAAAAAAAAATACAGGAGTAATAGGTACAAAACTATGCTGTCTACCCTAAGTGAATCATTGTGCAGTATATACATGTACTGAAAAAACATACTGTACCCCACAAATATGTACAAATTAATGTTATTTATTTTTTTTAAGGAATAAGGTTTATTGAATACTAGGAATTGACAACATATTTCTAAAGGGTAATCAAATGATTCATCATATTTGTATGGCACATTCTTCCAGATGAGGGGGGAGATACTGCTATTGATTGCTGAGAAAGAGAAAGTAACAGAAAGACGAGACAGACATTTTTCTTAGATTTGATCATTTTTCAGGACTGACATATTATGCCTTTTCCTCTCTGAGGGGATTTGGCATACATTCTCTGTTGTGTGTCAAATTAATTGCTTTGAGATTTTTTTTCCAGGGAGTGGAGCTTGGTGGTAAGTATTTTGCTGCGTTGGTCTACCTCCTCAAGAGCTTTCTTAACCACTATGGGTTTGGTGTACTCCATTGATTGCCTGGTTGCGGGTAGGGACAGGGTGGCCCATGGGCCCCATCTCAGGACCCCTGGTGGCAGTGTGCTCCATTGCTTGCCTGTTTGTGGGTGGGGGCTATTAAAATATTTTGAAAAGAAAAAGAAGTACATAGAAGTAATTACTACTTTTTATTGAGCACTTTCATGTGTCAGACAATGCACCAAGTGCTGTTCATGTATTATCTCATTAATCCTTGCCCCAGCCCTTTTAGGTACTATTGCTATTTCCACCTATACCTATAGATGTGAACACTGAGGAACAGAGAGGCTACCTCACTGTTGCTGTCTGTGTGTATATAGGTCCAGGCAGACAGTCATAGGAAGGAGTCTGGTCACACAGCTAGAAGGAAGTGTAGACAGCTGGTAGTGTACTGCCTTTTAAGATGCATTTATTGTATTATGGTCATTCCCCTCTTTATCAGTCCTGACTGTGGATATCCTTGTCTAATATTTAGTTGAACATTTATTCTTGGTCTCAAGTGTCAAGGGAGCCCTCTAATGGACGTTTGTTGCATTATAGACTTTCAGCTTCCTTTCATTTCAAAACATTCTAAGTGCCTCCTTGTGCCCAAACACCAGCCCAGACCCCGGCAGGATGATACAAACTAGACAGGTTCTTGAGTTCCTGAAGTAAGACTGCGGCAGGAAGAATATGGGTGTGTCTGGGAACCCAAGAAGACAGGGAGAGTGGCACAGGAAGAGGTTGGAAAGCTGGGGTCGGGGTGGGGGTGCACAGATTATACAGGGCCTTGAAAGCTGAGATGAAGAGATCTCACTTTTAGTAGCCCTTTGTTGGAGAGTGTTGGTCTGATTATATATTTTAAAGTCACCGTGGTCGCTCTGTGTGTTGAGGATGGCTTCCAGGGAAGACAGCAAGAGTGAAAGACCGGAGGAAGACCAGTTAGATCAATCCAGTGGTCTAGGTCTTAGATGATGGGGGCCTGGACTAAGATGGATAAAGTCATGGTATATTTTATACATCAATGTTTTACTCCAAAACAATTTTTGAAAGTTTTTTCCCCTACAGATGGGGCAGATAGGTCATTTGCAACATTTTGGGGGCACATTTTAATACTTTAGTATTTCCAGTAATTTACAAAAGAAAATATAGCCAGTTCCTCCGTCAGGCTGAAATGATAGCACTCATGTGCCATGGAGAGAGGTGAACAGATTACCTGTGAGGCACTTTGAAAGTACGGTAGCCTCTGTGTGCTTCAAGGAAGCCAGCACCCAGCTATGTGCCCTGAGCACAGCTGGCCCTTTAGTTTGAGATGGACTGACAGAACTCTGCTGCCGACTGCTTTCTGCCCTGAGTGCCTAGCCAGAGGCACCCAAAGTCTGGAAACTTTATACTGATAAACTTAACTGTGGCCAATTATGTGTCTCCAAAAATACTTTCTGCTTATTCGGGTGCAGCTCATTTTTCCTCTTGAACTATACTTAGTTTCCTGAGCAAACCTTAAACTGACATTCCTCCAAGAATGCTCTCATTGTGAGAAATGGGAAAGGTAATAGCCAACAAAATTTTTTGTTCTTAGGTACATAAGTGGGGGGTGGGGTTTCCTTCTTCTACAGCCTGTGATATTATTACAGAAGATATTTCCTTCGATGGTTTTAAGAAAACAAAAGCAATATAGAAATCTAAATTGTCACTTTCTTATTAAATTTGTGTCAAAACCTAGAAGAGAATTAGGGGCCTCTGAATCCCTTATTTAAATCTATCCAGAGCTGCTGTGTTTGAGGGAAATAAAAGATTGTACATAGTACTAAATTTATTCATTTCAAGCTGTGTCCCAGCATTTACAGATCAATATTTGATGTATGAATCAATATTTATTTTGGGAAGTGATGGGGAAATACTGAACCTCCTGTGTGAACAGTTTGCCAAACCTTGGCATATGTTGTTGGTGACTCAGGTATCCCTGTATATAAGGAATTAGGAACGTTTTCACCAGCTTGGCCTACTTACCTCCTAACTGAGCAACATTTTGGGTAGTAACATTTGCTGAGAAAGAGCATTACTACTATAGCTACAAATAAGGTAGAAGAAGTGAGTTATTTTTCTGAGCAATATTTAAAGAATAAATATGTAAATTTCTATAAACTCAATTCTTAAAGAAAACCAAAAAATTTTACTTTTAAATAACAACTAAATAAATCCTTGTCAAATAATTGAAAAAGAGAATATAAATTAACATAGTTTGAATTGAGAAGAGGAGAACTTGCAGTCACACTCACAACTATTAAGAAATAATATGCTCAAGATATATAGTAATAAATTTGAAACTCTTAAGTGAATGACTTTTTACAAAACTGACCAAAGAAGAAATATTTGGAGGGGCAAAAATGGATAGAGAAATCAAGAATATTACCAAAAGTAAAGTGCCTGGGTCTCGTGTTACAAAAATTGTTCTAAGCAATTAAGCAAAATTCACTTTGTGCCAAGTACTGTACTAGGGTTTCAACATTCACTAAGTATAAAATACCACAGAGCTGTTTTCTTATCTGGAAAGAAATTTGTACTGAACAAAATAGGAAAAGAATATGAAGCACACTAAAATGGAAAATATATCTAGTATATTTCTAATGGAACACCAATCTAGTATAATTACAGTGGCGTGGTTGGGAATATTTGGTCTGCTGTTTTAAAAATTAAATCCACTGAATCTGGCCCCATAGTGTCCTATACTTTTATTTTATGAATTTTTTTTTTACATTCTATTTTGTTGTTGTGGAGCAGATGGGAGGGAGGAGGAGAGGGGAAAGGGGAAGGAAATGGGATGGAAGGAGGAGGACAGGTGGGATTGAGGCCTGTGGCACCCCCCCACATTCCCACAGGGGAAACCGGGGGACTTCCAGCTGTGGCTTGGTCATTGCCGGGCCGGTTACAGGTGTCATGGGAATGTGGCAAAAGCCCTCGTCCCCCACCTCCCCAGCTCAGGAACCCAGGGCCCTTCTTGCTGTGGCTTGGTGGTCATCGCTGGGCTGGGTGCTCGTGTTGGGGGGGCATGACCAAGGCCCAAGGCCTCCCACTATCCCAGCTTGGGAGAGCCTGGGGTGCTTCCTGTGGTGGTTCAGTGGTCGTCGCTGGGGTGGTTGTGCTTGTCAGGGGGGTGTGGCTGACGCCCTCGGCCCACACCCTCAGGACTGGTTGCAGGTGTCGGTGGGAATGGCTGAGGCCTCCGGCTCTCCCCCCTTTCTGGCTCCGTAGCCCATGGGACTTCTAGTCCTTCTAGGTGTTATAGGTGTTCTTTGGTGAAATGAGTCCTTTACTAGTTAATATCAATTTTTGTCTCTGGTTGTAGGTACTTTGTTTTTTCTTTCAGTTCTGCGTTGGATTATTTGCTGTTCCCACCACTTAAAGTGCTGTGAACTAACTGTGTTGGAACTAACTTCTTGTCCTTTGCTTACTTCTAAAATGGGGGAACCTCCTGGGTGGACCAGCACTTGAACTCTGTGGTTGGGCTAAATTGCTCCTGTGCTGCTGATTCCCTAGGGAAGGCTTTTTGTGCAGCTCAGGTTTTAATGGTTGACTTTATAGGTGCTTCCAGTTCTAGTGAAATCCGATGCACCTGGGTTGTGTAGAAACACTGATCTGGGCCTGAGTCTTTTCATCAAACTGCAGCCCATGCAATTCTATATTCCTGACCAGTCTCCTCTGAGTGGTCCTAGACTGATTAGGGGGCAGATCAGTGTTCTTGCTGTGCCCCAGTGTTCCCCTAGTGGGCCCGTCTCCCGCACCACCCGTGCTCCAAACACTTCTCATGGGACAGGCCGTGCTCCAGTCCCATGCGATGACCCACCAGCCTCTGAATGGCTCTTTTTTCCAGTTATTGTGGCTCCTCAGTCCTGTGTGGGTCTATGGGAAAACTATTAGTGGTATTTCTGACCTGGGGGCCACCAAGGCCCTCTTTTCCCCTGCCACCTCCAAGCAACTTCATCCGAAGGGCACAGCTGCGGCTCTTGCCAGCTCCTGCTCTGTGGGCTCAGCAGCTGCAGCCTGGAAGTAGCCAGGGCTCGAAACAGTCGGAGTGTTTTTTTTCTTTCTCTCATCATAGCTTCTCCCACCTACATGCACTCCGTAGGTCTTTCCTCCTCTTCCCCCAAGCTCTAGCAGCCCCAGCTTAGCTGTCATTGCTTTTTTATAGTTTTAAATTGGTTGATTTGTGGGAGTGACCCTGGGCACTGCCTATTCCGCCATCTTGAATGGAAACCTGTCCTGTACTTTTATTCTAGATTCTCTGGGGTTTGTGATTTTTTTTGAGTTTCTGATTCTAGATATGTTTCTAAGATTTAAATGACTTTCCATTATCTCCTTTCATGTTTGTAGGTAGAATATAAATATATCTATAACTTAAAATGATAGGGTTTGTCTAGTTAGTTTTTCAATAAAAATACCTCCTTAAATCTTTTCTACATGCTAATTTCAAACCATTTGCTATATTTTGACTTATTTTTAGATCACTTTTTGTCTTAATAGATGTGAAGCATCAGGAAGTCTTTTTACTTGCTCAAGGTCACAGAGAACTAGAACCTGATTTTTTCCCTCAGAGCCCTTGTTCTTTCCTGTCTACCAGGCTGAAAGCCCAATAATTACCCACTGCTAGGAAATTATGCTTGTGCTTTCATGGACGGTGGGTTGGAGAAAAGGAAATTTAATTAGAAAATAAATATTGGGAGAATGGGGAGATATTTGTTACTTATAAATGCTAGTGTTTAAGTGCTAGGCTTAGTTTTCAAATAGCCAACTCAGATTCCAAAACTAATCATAATTTTACCATAAAACCATAATTTAGTGGGCCAGCCCGTGGCTCACTCGGGAGAGTGCGGTGCTGATAACACCAAGGCCCCGGGTTCGGATCCCATATAGGGATGGCCGGTTCGCTCACTGGCTGAGCGTGGTGCTGACAACACCAAGTCAAGGGTTAAGATCCCCTTACCGGTCATCTTTAAAAAAATGAAGAAAAAAATTTATTCAGCTATATGGTACGATGGTGTCAAAAAGAGAACTAAGTTGGAGTGTGAAACATTTTTCAAGAGCATGTTTCTTATTGTGGAATCAGTGGATCACTTGTGTTAAAGTTTGTCAAAACCGCCATTCCTGAATCGCAACTGGAACTCACACTCTGCACCTTCAGGCCTCTTCAGGTTGTGAGTGGCTGCCCTGAGGCATACTATGAAACTTGGTATTACCTAGGTGTGCTAGAGAGTCCTAGGTAAAGTGGAACAGAGGCAGATGGTGATCCAGATGGCTGCTTTATCTGGTCTCTCCCTTTCTCTCCAGCCCCACTGTCCTTGGAGGGCCCCCTCCAGGACTGGTTCTATCCATTTCCTGCTGCTGCCAACATAGACCATGAGTTCCAGGCTGGCTCCATCTTGTGTGCTTTGGGCACTTTACTTACCCTCTCCCAGCATTACTGTCTTCATCTGTAAAAAGAGGATAACATTAGTCCCCAACTCATAAAGTTTTTATGAGGATTACCAATGAGATTGCGTGGCACTTAGTAACACTAAATAAATGATAGTTGCTATTATTTGTGTGCTTTAAAAAAAACCTGATGCTTTTTAAAACATTTCTTCTGATGACTAGTGAATTTTACAGTTTTAATTAGCTCTGTGCCTAAAAAAGTTATTTAATTATCTGTTTCCTCCTTTTTTGTACTTATCATACTTTGAATATGCAACTACAGCACCATCTAGAACTCTTCATTTGCACTTATTTATTTAAATGTCCACCTCTCCATAACCCAAGGGTAGGAATCAGGTCTTACTCATTGTTGAAGTCTCTAGCACATAAGCACAGTGCCTACCAAATGGCAGGCAAAATCAGGTGTTTGATTCTATTATCTATTAACTACTTAAACACTAAAATGTAAATGTCTAGTGGTTCAAAATAAATGTTCTGAACTTTAACTTTGAGGTGCTTAAATATAAAAATAATATTTTCTAATTAAAGTGTTCATAGTTTTAAAGATTAAAAAAATATCAAGTTTGATGAATGAATTGAATTGATTGGGCACTGACCAGGCACAGGATCCTTAAACCTCAAGATGAATTTTTACAGATTCTGACCTCAGAGATTTGCTGGCTGGGAAAGGAAAGTAAGTATATAAAAATAGTTACTTTCTTCTTGTCCCTTAATGGAAATATTGAGAAAGTGCTCGGGGAAGTAAGGAGAGATGATGATCGGAGTTGACTATGTATATAAAATCAAGGTGAACTAGGCAGTGGCAGGGGACAAAGGGGATAACCAGCAATCACTTAGAAGTCCTAAGTATGTTGCTTGGTAATTGTAACATTCTCCTTTCCTGAGAGCAGAGTTGACATTGCCTTGTCTGCCCTAGGTACTCTCCTTTTTCTTCATTGGTCTGATGTCCATGATGGTTCCCCTGTGTAGCATCTTTGGGGCCCTCATTGCTGTCTGTCTCATCATGGGTCTTTTTGATGGATGCTTCATTTCTATCATGGCCCCCATTGCCTTTGAGTTAGTTGGTGCCCAGGATGTCTCTCAAGCAATTGGATTTCTGCTCGGAATCATGTCTATACCCATGACTGTGGGCCCCCCCATTGCAGGTAAATATAATGATTCTCTAGTAATTGTATTAATTCATAGCTTAGACTTCAGGTCCTAAGTCTTGCTTACATGTAAAACATATTATAACTTACTAATTACTGGTCTTTTGCTTTCATGTGTGCCTTATCGATAACATTTTTAGTAAGACTAGCTGTAAATGGTATGTTGACAGAGTTTGCTGGAGAGTTCCTTTTATCCTTACTGGCATCTAAAACACAATAAAACATGTAATGGTAAGCTCCCGGGCTCTAAGCTTTCAAAATTCCTATATTCCACTTCGTATGTGCTTTAGAGGAATGGGAACATGATTTTAAAAAAAAGATGAAGATTCTGAAAGATTTCTAAATATGTTTGCTTTGTGTATGAGATCACACTTCCCTGGGGAATAGTTGATGAACAATAACATTTAGTGAAAACAACCCAAGTTTCCATTAATGGATGAATGGATAAACAAAATATGGTATAACCATACAATGGAATAGTATTCAGCCATAAAAAGGAATGTACTGCATCGATGCCTGCTACCAGATGCATGAACCTCAAGAACATTATGCTAAGTGAAAGAAGCCAAATGTGAAAGGTCCAGAATAGCTAAATCCATAGAGACCGAAGACAGATTGGTGGTTGCCAAAAGCTGGAGGGAAGGAGAATTGGGGACTAACTATTTAATGGTGATCAAGTTTCCTTTCAGCATGATGAAAATATTTTGGAACTAGATAGAGGGAGTGGTTGCACAACATTCTGAACGTACTCAAATGCCACTGAATTGTTCACTCTAAAATGGTTAATTTTCTGTTACATGAATTCCACTTTTAGAAATCTGAACAATGGTGTATAGGTGTCTCGTGTTCAGTATTACGTGGGTGCCAGTGTGAATTAGTATTAGAAGAGTCAATATAATTATGATAAAATTTCAATGTGTGTGCTGTCATCTGTGTCTGGCACATGAGGGGCTCAGTGAAAGTTCAGTTCACTTCATTCTCATATTCAGAACTAAATTCCCAGTCATGAATCAATCAAGCAGAGTTACTACTGAGCAGGTCACAGTTCTAAAGGTCTCCTTGTAGGAGAACCCTCCACTCCTTCCTGTCTCCCCCCACTCTACTTTTTATACCCTACAAGCTTAGTGTTAGTGTTTTCCAGTCCAGAGCAGATTCTAAGCAGCTCTTTAGTAGGAATGGTGTTTGTTGCCAGAACTGACTGCTAACAGGCCAAGAATAAGAGAGGTTAACACGAAACTTCCAAAGTTGGCAGAATAACCACACAGCAACTGGCAGTAGAAAGCCTCTGTCTTACCAGTAGGTTCTGAGGGCATCATAATATATAGCAAAACATAATAATGAGTGTTCATAAGGATGAAAGGTTCAGTTATACATGGAATAGTCTGATGCAGAAGATGGGAAAGTTGTATATTTTATGTTTATATCCAGAATGAGTGTACACATTATTGTGTTGGCACCTAACTGGACAAATGCTCAGCTATTTATTTAACAAAGTCAAGTAGATATTCAGTACAATATGTTCTCTGGACATTTCGGATAACTGAGGTTACACAGTAAAAGTTATAAAAACACTATGATAACTTTTAAAACCCCGAGTCCTGGATTTTGTTAGAGAAATAGTAATAAGAAGTACTTAACAGTTTTTGGGAACAGAGCACAAGGCTCTACTAGAGTGCCACGCATACATTCTTACATTCCCATGTACTGACAACTCTAGTACTTTCTCAAACATATTTACAAACTAACTTTATCCTCTTAGACTTATTATTTTTCGTGATTTGGGATTACAATGTAAAATAGTTTAATGTTATTCCATAAAAAACAAATAGGTCCAAGACCAGTTTGAAATGCAGACATTTTGGCATGCGTGTTTGAAAGAAGTTTCACCTAGATGGTTTGTTGCCTTTGGCTGAATCAAGGACACTTATGCCACGTATCAGAATACCCCAAATGCCCTCTGAAGGGTTTTGAGAAAGCCAAAGCTTGACTGCAAATATTCTTTTTAAGTAATATCTTGGTATAAAAACCCAGAGGCCTTGTGACAAGATTAAAGATATTAGATCTTTTCCTTCCTCATATCACAAAAGCTTTATATTTCAGATCCATTTCCTAAAAAATTGTCTGATCTCTGAGATGTCTGAACCCATCCTGCTGAGGTAAAGTTATTAGGCTGGGACTAGGCCATCAGAGTGACTGATCTCAGACCCCTAACAGCCATGCTTGTTCTCTCTTGGTGACAACTTTTTCTTTTCTCAGGGTTGCTTCGTGACAAGTTGGGTGCTTATGATGTGGCATTCTATCTCGCTGGAATTCCTCCCCTCATTGGAGGTGTTGTGCTTTGTTTTATCCCATGGATCCACAGTAAGAAGCAAAGAGAGATCAATAAGACCACTGGAGGAGGAAAGATGGAGAAGATGTTGGAGAACCAGAACTCTCTGCTGTCAAGCTCATCTGGAATCTGCAAGAAAGAATCTGACTCTATTATTTAATGTCTTATATACCTCCACCAGACTGGACTTGCTTTTGAATTTTAAGCAAGTTTTCCTTTGATATGAATTGCAAATTTCTCATTTTTAAAATCACATCCTAGTTACAGCACAATAATTGGGAAATAGTAACATTATTACTATAAGAACTATTTTCTGCCACTGAATAGCTGCCTGATATTTCCATGAGTCTGAGGGCAGAGATGCTAGTACATGAAAACACATGACAATTTGAAGCTATCTCAGTTAAAAGCAACTTTGGAAACTGTGAAAGCTATTTAGCTTGTAAAATATTTTAAAATACCTCAAGCTATATTGAAAGGGTTGCAGTTTGGTTAGGACTGGAAATACTTTGTTTGTTTTCTAACATGGTGTCCCTATTTCTGGAACCTCTATTTTAATTTCTTCTGCTTCTTGGATACTTTTCACAAAATTTAAGCCTGGATTCTAGATAATACCGGATCTACCCAAACCTCAAATCTATATTAAAGTTGCTTGCCTGCCATCAAATACTTAAAATGGTTTATGAAATTAATAGTCTTAGATTAAAGGCACGCATAAAGAGAACCAACTCCTACGTTTCTAAAAGTTTCTGGCAAGAATTTGTATTTATATGTATTTATCCTAGGGTGTTCCCCATTAACATTCCCATTACTTTTTTCTACTTATATACATATTATCATAAGAAAACTATTAGTTTTGAGGACTTAAAATTATAACCAAAGTCATGCCAAGACCCATACTCATTTACTAAAATATATATATCACTGAAATTATACTCTAGTATGGTAGACCTTTAAAAGTTAATAATATGCAAAGTATATTTAAATACTAACTATAGATGTATATTAGATCTTCCTCGAATATAGCTTGTTCACCTGAAAAGAATGGTATCTTTTTGTAAAGCACTTCCAGGATCCATTGTTTCTAAATTGCATGTGAGGAGAAAAACTTAATTCTATTATTTCACTATTTTTCTCTTCATCTTCTATACTTTCTAACAGGCAACGTCTTTTCATTCCTTGTCTCTAGCGAGGATAGAGATATCTGGAGAGCATATGGATTTGTGATTGATTTGGGTGGGGCCAGCAGGGGCCTGGGGGAAAGGCTGTTAAATGAACAGCTGGAAAATCTGTGACCTTCCCTTTTGGTATCAGCTTCCTCATCTGCCATCTTGAAAGTTTGAAGTGTCAGTGCTAAATGTGCAATTTATTTTTAGTAGAATTTTAAATAATTTTGATTGTGAAGACACTTAGCAATTTACTATGCCATGCATAGTTACTACTTAGTACTTCTAATAGTTCTGTATTTCATATTCGGGGGACTTAAGTAACCTGTTTGTAGAAAGTTTTGCTGCAGAAAAAAAACACATCTACAATTTGACCATATTGCCTTTTCATATTCTTATTTCAAACTTTTAGAAAATGATTTAGACAAGCTAATATAGTATGTTATCAAGTTCTTCATTTATTCATGCCTAGTTATATAAAATATTACTTCCTCATTATCAGTGCTTTTGAGAAGTTCAACAAAAACATAAAACTAAGACCAATCATCAAACCTGCCATTATGTTAATGTTTTTTTACAGTTTTAGCACAGACTTCTAAAGATGCCCTCCCCCCAATTTTATGAAAAGATTAATTCTAAAATGGAAATTTTACTCTGTAAAGACCTCCAAAATGTTTTTCTTTTCAAAATTTGGCTGATTTTAGAGAGGGAAAAAAAGGTAATAATTTGAAACCCAAAGTATGAGGGTATTTCAAAATATTCATGGAAAAATGGAATTAAAAGATAATACTAATCCGTCCATGAACTTTTTGAAGACCTCTGGTATTTATAATAAAACTTAGATCTCAGATTATCATGTTTGTGTATAATATTAAACTTATGTAATTTTCAGTTTAATGGAAAATGTCAAACTGGATCTATAACACTGAAAAAGCTCCACTGCAATAAACTCTTAAGGAGAATACTCTGCTGTAACAACATTAAGCTAAAAAGAAAAAAGTATAAAAACAAGATACTAATTCCTACAATACATATTTATTAATATGTTGTTTTTTAGGAAAAGTTCTGAAAGTCTAAATTATACAAACCAAGAAAATGAAAAATACTAATATTCATAAAGATTTGTGTTTTAGATGAAGAAATATTACTTTAATCAAAGTAAATCTTCTATAATTTCTGAACAGAATGTTGCTGCTGCAATAAAGTGACCTGATAAGCTTAAATTTTTTTGTTCAATCCAGACACTCTGTGAAAGGAAAAAAATAGAGTCAGAGCTCTGCTTTTTATTTCATCATCCCAGTTCTGATAGAAGTCAGCAAATTCTCAAATTTGAGAGGTTCTGGCATTTGAGACCAACAATAACGTAAGAAAGAGAGCAATCATTCCTCCTTATAGAAACTCTGGATCAGATACTATTGTACCATACCCAGGACTTCATTTACATTTTATGATCCATGTATTATCTGTTTATGCATGTTTGCAAGTGATCCCATGGGTGTTGCCCAAGTATGGAGAAAATTTTAATGCTATTAGCTCCAACTTCCCATACTTTAAAAGTAAATGTACACTTAGTTATAAAATAAACATGTTTACTTCTGATAATTCTAATTATCCTAACTGTATTTAAGAATATTTTAATTTATACCAATGTTATTGTAAACTGTCCTACATCCAGATGACTTTTGATCTTAAGTCAATAGAAACTGTATAGAAAATGTGTATAAGATTGGGGATAGGCAACCTATACTGTGTGTGGGTGGTTCTGAGGAGTCCCTGGTGGTGGACTTTCCTACCCTTTCATATGCACCTTTTTCTTACTGTTTTCATATAATTTTTAATCCTCATCATTCTTTAATTATTCCTTTTCTTCCCTCCATCCTTCAAAAACCTCCTGAAGAGTCTGTGAACATCTTTTCTTAGTTCCACTGGTTGCTTAACTGCACTTCTTACTGGTCCCCACAGTTTCACAGAATGGATCCCCAGCCAATTTTGTGTAATCTGGAGAATGACTTGTTCCCAGTCTTCAACTTACAGTTCTAATAGTCCACACTGAAATTTTTTTTTATAATTACCTGATTGAAATATTTAAGGGAAGTAATAAGTTTCATATAACTGGCATCTTCATGCTAACATTTAAAAGTTACTTAAATTTTTAAGGTAAATGCTTTGAGAGAAAGACTGCCAAGTTCTTAGCATAAATATTTTCAAAAAGCATAATTTTTTACTTTTTCATATTCCATTAAGGTTTCATTAAATCTTAGTCCTGAGAGCACATCACAGAGGATTACTTGGAATACAGTGGGCCTTGGATGCAGCTCCTAATGATTGCTCATTAGGAACCTACCTTAAATTGGATCACGTTTTATAGTAAATGGTGTTATAGAGTAAATTCCCAGAGTTTAGAGATACAAGTGGGAATGCATAAGCTAATTAGCTCTGATTTTTAAATATGTAAAAAATTTAAACAAGTATTTAAAACTCTTCAGGAAGTTTCTAACACTAAAAATTTCATTATTGCTGGTGTAAAATTAAGGAGCAATTATTGTATTAGGTTAAAGATCATTGCTTTTCCAATGTGTTGTCTTAAAAAGAGGAGGAAATGAAACTTTTTCTTTTTACATCCATTTTTTTTTTTTTGCAGCTGGCTGGTACAGGGATCAAACCCTGCACCTTGGTGTTATCCAGCACCATGCTCTAACCAACTGAGCTAACTGGACAGCCCCTTGTATATTCTTTTTTAATTTGAAAGGCAAGTAGTGTCTTGGCTAACAGAAAAATGCATCATCCATAACAATTAACTACTAAAAAGACAAGCTTTTTGTCTTATTATTAAAACAAAAGAGCTGTTTGTCATTCATAATGGTGATGTGGTAACGTAGAATAAGAACACACTATAGACATAAGACTTCCTACTTTACTGACTTAATAATTCATTTTGCTCATATTATACTCAGATTTTTGTTGATGGTTTGTTCTAAGGGAGATAAAAAGACTGTGTACAGCTGAGTTTGAGAATGGTTCCAGGAGCAAATAAGGTGGACAGACAGTTCCTGGGATCACTATAATTTCATAGCCACAGACATGTTTATCATTTTATTTATTGGCAGAGACTAATGCTCCATGTTATAAATATTCTATAGAGTAATAGTTACAATTCTCAAGAAAAGCCAAATGCCCATAGCTAATGTGAAACTTGTATACCTGTTAGAACCACAATTATTGAACAGTATAAATGTGGACTTTATAAGATGACTCCTTCTGAGACAATAAAGACCCACGAAAAAATTTGTCACATCTTTGAATCACTCAGAAAAACCTTAAAACTTAGAACATAGTAGTTTACTTAGCTTGCCTTTTTAAAATTATCAAATTTTAAACAGTAAACTTTAATCATCTTGACCTCTACACATTCCAAGTTCAAATTACCTATACATTCAAAGTTCAATTTACCATACTAAATGGGGGTAATCTTGCTTTCTGGAAAAAAAATCCCCATAGTACTATTTTCTTGACAGATATAAAATAATATAGGAGGCTACCTCATTTCTGAAACAGAAGATTTCAATATTTTTATTAATTGGAAAGACATCGGGAACAAAATAAAACCTTTCCAAGTACCTGGTGATGACACTTAATTGATCACAACAGTCTGCCTACCTCAGCTTTCCTGAGTCAATTCCCGCTTCATGAGAAGGGAGCTAATGATGATTCTGAGATTAAAAGGAAAGGGAGTGTAAATTGTTAAAGGGGTCAAAATATGAGTATCAGTAAAATTAAGTGCTTTGTTCTGATAAATGGATCGAAAAGGAACAAAAAAGGAATAACAACTAATGTGGCCTGTGGATCTGACAAAGGAAAGAATTGAAGAAATTTGTAATCTAGTTACAATAAGCTTCACCAGTGGATTTTCAAATCACGCTGGCAGCTTGATGATGATTGGTTTTGTTTTCTTGACAGAAGTATAGATGATCACTGACAATAGGTTGTATAGTTGTGCCTGAACCTTACAACTGACACGTTAAACTCCCGTAAGAGGCACTCCTTTCCTGGTGGAACAGGGATTTATTGCATGGCAGTGAATTTTTGTCTCACTGGAATTTTTTAAAATGCTGTTTTAATAGAGTCTAGCAATAGTGTTAAGAATTAACTCACAAGTTCCCAACCTAATTAGAGATTTTTTTTTTTGCCTTTTAATATGAGTGCTGTAAGAAGAGTATTTTGGAGTTGAATGTCACTGAGGATGTATGTGATAGGAACTATCAATATAAAATAACACTTAGAAATCAAGTTAGATCTGTGATACTATTTTGGAGACTGTGATATATGACTCTTGTTTTTTACTAGATAATAGTTTTCAATAACTGTCAGTTATTAGAAAAGTCAATTTGTTAAGAATTTTAAATGTATATAAACATTTAAACCCTTTTACTATGATCTTCCCTAATGGGTCAAAGTGTCTTTCATAATTCAGGCTATATTGGAATATTATTTCAATATTCCAAG